TATATTCTATATATGTCAGTTAAGTCTAGGTTGTTGATTGTGATATTGAGTTCTATAGTTTCTTTATTCAATTTTTGTTTGGAGGATCTGTCCAATGGTGAGAGAGGTGTGTTGAAGTCACCCATAATTATTGTGTTGTGGTCTATTTGATTCTTGAACTTGAGGAGAATTTGTTTTATGAACGTCGCAGCACCATTATTTGGTGCATAAATATTGATAATTGTTATGTCTTGTTGGTGAATGGTTCCTTTTAACAGTATATAATATCCTTCCTTATCCCTTTTGATTAACTTAGTCTTGAAGTCGATTTTATTCGATATGAGGATGGCCACCCCTGCTTGCTTACGAGGACCGTGTGCGTGGTATATTTTTTCCCAACCTTTCATCTTCAGCCTGTGTATGTCTTTTGCAATCAGATGTGTCTCCTGGAGGCAGCATATTGTTGGATTTGTTTTTTAATCCATGTTACCAGCCTATGTCGCTTTATTGGAGAGTTTAAGCCATTAACGTTTAGAGTTACTATTGATATATGGTTTGTACTTCCAGCCATGTTTGATTATTTATCTTCTTTTTTTTTTTTTTTTTTTTAATTAGTTTGTTTCTCCATGATTAGCTTTCCCCCCGCCCTCTGTCTTTACAGAGGCACTTCCCACTGATGGTTTTGGTTATTGTTTTTCATTTCTTCCTTGTGTAGTGTTCTGCTCAAGATGCTTTGCAATGCTGGTTTTCTGGCTGCAAATTCTTTTAGCTTTTGTTTATCATGAAAGATTTTTATTTTGTTGTCGTACCTGAAGCTTAATTTTGCTGGATATAGAATTCTTGGTTGGCATCCATTGTCTTTCAGTGTTTGAAATACGTTGTTTCAGGATCTTCTCGCTTTCAGCGTCTGTGATGAAAAATCCGTTGTTAACCTTATTGGTTTATCCCTGAATGTAATCTGCCTCCTTTCTCTTGTAGCTTTTAATATTTTCTCTTTGTTCTGTATATTGGATATCTTCATAACAATGTGTCTTGGCGTTGGTCTGCTGTGATTTTGTGTGCTCGGTGTCCTGTATGCATCTACAATTTGTATATCCATTTCCTTTTTTATTTCTGGAAAGTTTTCTGTAATTATTTCATTCAGCAGGTTACTCATTCCCTTGGTTTGAATCTCTGTACCTTCCTCTATCCCGATGACTCGTAAGTTTGGTTTTTTTATATTATCCCATATCTCTTGGATGTTTTTCTCGTGATTTTTTACCAGCCTTTCTGAGTTTGCTAGACTCTTTTCAAGATGATATATTTTGTCTTCATTATCTGACGTTCTGGCTTCTACTTGCTCCATTCTGTTAGTGATACTCTCAATTGATTTTTTAATTTGGTTTATCGTTTCCTTCATTTCTAGAATTATTGTTTGATTTTTTTTAATAATCTCTATCTCTTGAAAGAGATGCTTAACTTCTTCTTTTATCTGTTTATGTAATTCACTTTCAATGTGTTCTTTCACTGTTTGGATTTGCTGTCTCGTATTCTCTTTAAGGTTCCATTCCATCTGTCTAAGGTATTCCTTGAGATCTTTATATGACCATTTTTCTAATGACTCTAGATCCTCCTGAATATTTAGGCTGTCCTTCATTGTTTGTACTCCTTTTCTTCCTTGCTTTTTTATGCTGCTCATGTTACTGCTTGTTCTATTTGACTGCTGAGTTACTGTTTATTCTTATAAATTTATTTGATGCTTGGGAGGAAGTATATTAGAAGGGAAGGGAAGAAGTCACTAAAGAGAATGAGAGTAGGCAGGTAGAATTCAAGGAAGGGGGAATGAGAAAAATGAAAAGACAAAAGAAAAAAATAGAAAATAAAGAAAGAAAAAAAATTTTTTTTTAAATAATAATAAAAAATGATAATGAAGATTTAAAGAAATAATACTAATAATAATAAAATAAAAAAATTAAAAACATTTAAAAAAAGTTAAAGAACAAGAACACCAACAAAAAAAATGGAAATGAAAGAAAAAGAAAAAAATAATAATAATAATAAATGCAGTCATAGAGTTCCATTAAGTTCTCTTCCAGTAGGTGGAGCTGTGCCCACTGGGCCAAGCTTCTCCTCTCAATAGGTGGGAACCATTCACTGTGCAGCAGCTCTTAGTCCCAGACTGGGCGGGTCTCCAATCCTGAGTGCCTAGGGCTTTCTCTTGTGTTTCCTCAAGCCAGGCCCCGCTCACCTGTGACGCTTACCAGAATACTGGTTACACGCCAGGTCTGCTGCTCCTGGGAGCCCTGTTTTCATGAACGCTTGGGCACACTCTCCCTGTTTGCTTCCCTCAGACCCTAAGTTTGTAGAGCTTGGGGCTGAGAACCCCTAGCGAATTTGCTTGCCCTCCAGTAGCCACGCCCCTGGTAGCTGGTGCAAGAGACCTCAGTTGTCAGCACTGGTGGGAAGCGGTAGTCGGGAGTTCCGCGCCGTGAGTCCCGCGCCACTCCTGATTCCCTCAGTCTGGCTATGGAGCTCACAGGAGAGCTAGGAGGGGCTCTTAAGGTTTCCCCGCTGTGTGGAGAGAGATGGCTAGGGGATTACACACCTGTCGCGCTGGTTTCAATGAAGTTATCTCCTCCGCCCGTGACGTCAGTTCTCTGCCAAGGTGGTATCCCATGCAAATGGTGACTGTTCGTTCCCTTTGCCGGGTGACCAATGCAACGGGTGAGTCCTGACTGACTTTCCCAAGCCCCGTTTCAGTCCTGTGGCCACTGCCTATGAAGGCTCGGTTGGCTTTTACCTCTGTATGTTCAGACGGGCCGACCAGTTATTTCAGCGGGATCGTTAGTGCTGAGTCACGAGAAGCAGGCGAACTTGAATGCAGCCGATCCGGGCTCCGTGTGTGTGTTCTGAGGGGCCTAAACTGTTCACCCCAGATCCACGTCAGCTCAGCATTGCCTAGTGATCCTGAGCAAACAGCATTTAGACAATTTACGACTCCCTATGCCCGCGCAGCTGGAACGGTCAGAGACTTGATCTCTCCGCGCCCGCAGCCATGTTGGATCCCCGTACCTTACTCCTTCATGCACTATTGAGTAACTTTTCCCTTGACTGATTCATTTATGTATTAGTATTGAGTTATGAGCCAGTTATTTGGAAGTGATGAATATTAGAACAAAGAGTAATTGGCAAATTCTCTGGAAGCAATCTGATATTTACGTTTTTTATCAAACATCTATGGAATGTTAGCAGAAAGAGGTGTTTCCCTTGAGATGTAACATTAGATTCTGTTTTACATTTCATAAGCCTTTTGTTCTAATAAAATATGACTCCCAGTAGTGAGTAAATATGCATCCATCCCTGAAAACTAGGGACATTTTTCTTCGGATTATAAGTCATAGAAAGTATTTTCTAGGCTATTATAGATGTTCAGAAGGGGAGCAAAAGTACAGTCTCCTTTCTGCCCCTAATTTGTGAAAAGGGGTAAAGTATTAGGAATCCCTTTTTGGGGATACTTTTTGTGTTGTTTGGTACTCAGCATTAAACAAGTAAATGGAGTATTGTATTGTGAATAGAACCTGAGCTTTGGAGTCTCAAAACTTACTACCTCATTACCTTATGACATTGAGAAAATTAACCTAGTTTTCCTTTTTTTTTTTTCTTTTGCACTGGGGATTGAACTCAGGGGCATTCAACCTTAGCTTACTCACCTGTAAAGGAATGTTGAAAAGGAATAAAAATAGAATTACATAGAGTGCTATATATGACCTGGCATTTTTTTTAGTAAATGTGTTTCACAAAAAGTAGTCCCTTTTATCAGCAGTTTTCCTTTCCATGGTTTTGTTTACCCATGGTCCAGAAATCTTAAGTGGAAATTTAACAATTCATGTTTTAAGTTGTATGCATTCTGAATAGCATGATGAAACAAACATCACATTATCCCTCTTCATCCTGCCCAGGGTGTCAGTCATCCTTTTGTCTAGCATGTCCACACTATAAAATACCCATTATCACTTAGTAGTCATCTTGGTTATCAGACTGATCCTCAAGATAATGAAGTGCATGTCCTACTCTTATTTTAGTTAATTATGGCCCCAAAGTGTGAGAATAGTGATGATGGCAATTTAGATATGCCCAAGAAAAGCCATAAAGTACTTCCTTGAAGTGAAAAGGTGACAGTATAGTAAGAGTTTTATTGTTTATATTTTGAGATCACATTCACTTAACTTTTAATAAGTTAAAATTGTTCTATTTTACTAATTCTTTATTGTGCCTAATTAATAAATTTAAAATGTTATGTAGTTGTAGTACAAAAAATATTGTATAAACATATGGGATTTGGTACTGTCTAGTTTTAGGCATTCACTGGGGAACTTGGATATCCCCCAGGTAAGAGGGGATTACTGTAGGTACCAAATTAGAAGTCTGCTAGCATCTTTTTCTTTTGCTCTTCTGGGCCAGAACAGTGAATCTCATCATGCAACAGTTTTTATTAACATGAAAAATTGAACACGTAGAGCCATTACACATGTGATATTATGATGAAAAATTGCATGAGTAAAATGTAACCCACTTTTTAAAAGAAATGTGCATTATTTTGAATACTTGTAAAAGTGACATTCCTTTTACGTATTCCTTTTAGGCACCTAAACCATTTAAAGACAAGCTTGGAAAGTGATGTTGATTGTAATCCTCATTTTTATTTACTGGGTTTGATCACAAAGTAAAAGTAAAGCATGTTCTTGGTGACTTATTCACAGACTCTCAAGGAAATTACCAGATATATTTCACTGGAAGTAAAGTACTACACTGAAAAACTATCACTTCTGTATAGACTTATCTTTGGTGTTTATGTATTTTAAGTTTTGTTCATTGATCAACAGTAAATATAATTATTCACATGTAGTAATGATAGTGTACAGTAACTCACTTATTTAGCTTTTAAGTTCTTCACATTAAGTTTTACGTAAATTAGATAAGTGAATTAGAGTTTGCATATTTATTCTTAGGTGTATTTTTTTTTTCCTCCTCATTCCTGTCAGATGGATAGTGGTTATAATACGCAGACCTGTGGAAGCAACATTATGGATACCATTGGGACAGAAAGTTACTGCAAAGAAAGTGATGCTCAAAGCTTTGAAGTTGAGAATAATCTCAAAGTTTTTAATACAAAGGTATGGAGAAAATACATATGGTTATAGGCTGGAAGTATTTGCTGTGACTTTTCAAATCTATTTTCCCATATTTTGTTCAAAGTTAATTATCATCTGTGTCCCCATACTGTCCATTCATTAAGTGGCAGAAGGTGGTTTTTAAATCCAAACATTTCAGTTTCTTAACTTTCCCCATTATGGAGAGTATGACAGTATGTAGGATAGGCAGAACTAGCTCTACTTACCAGCAAGTGAAGTCAGCTCCTTAAAATTAAAGGGAAGTAGAAGAGGCATAAATTTTTGCTTCCAATGTTGATTTTGCTGTCTTTGAAGTATTTCAGAGACCTCTCACACTAAACAGAGGGGAAGATAGTACAATTGAGAGGTTGTATATCAGGTTTAAAACACCTAAGGGCGATTTTCTTTAAAGAAATTGACTAGCCTTTAAAGATTTGGTTGTTCTGAGTAAAATAACACATTTTTTATTTTATATGAGATAAAGTGTTTATATGAAGGTGGTATACTTTAACTTTCTTGATATGATAGTTTTAATTATATATTCATACTTGAAACCAATCATAATTTTAGGCACTTGATAGGACAGTCTTTTATTTTTATATGTCAGCTTATTACAATACAGTATTAACATTAGCAGTGAACAACTATGCCTAACTCTTCAAGTGCAGTTTAACTGGAAGGCCACCTTTTCCTCTTCATTTTGTCATTCTGGTATATGTAGTGTCAGAACAAGTCTCTTGTTCAAGATTCACTTGAACAAAGTTGATTATGATAAATCCTTCCAATTTCAGGAGGCATAATTGTAGTTATCCATCTAAATGTAAGCAGGCATTCCAATACAGAAGGGACTCAATTTTTGATACAGAATGTTGATTTATTGAAACACATATGTTTACTGTCCCTTTCTAAGGAAATTTGTGTTTGGTTTTTAAGAACAGTTCACTTAATAGTTGCATCCTTGAATGGTCCTATTTAAACTGAAAACAGGTATTTTCTTCTTTTTCACAGGAAGACCACACATTACAGAGGTATTAGATGAAAACAGCAACTCCATCTCAGTACAGCACTACATAAAACACCTGTCAGAACCAGAGATTATTGCTGAATGGTTCCTTGTGTATTTTTATGCACGGGATCAATAAGTTGATAGTGATTGGGAGAAAACCTCAAGAAACATTGCTTTTTTCCTTTCCTCCATAATGTGAAAAATCAAGGGCTTAATTTAGTGACACAGGAACAACAGAAAAGCTCCTAGAACTTCAAGTTGCTGAATTACAGTTTATTTTTGGTCAATAAATATTTTTGTACTTACCTTGAGTGATGTGTTTAACAATAAAAAATTGTGACAGAGCTGACGACTTGCTCCTATCCTGTAAGGGTCAGTGCCTCATGGACAGCACTAAATGTAGCAACAGATCATGGGACACATTTTTAAATTGAAGGTACTTTATATTTTTATGCAAAAACTTGTGAACACACAAATGAATTTCAGTTATGATCTATGTGAATGAAATCTTTAGATATAAAATTTATTGAAGTAGAAAGCAAGTTAAATGAGTTTTCCTAAAATTTTTATTCTTGAATTATTTGTTCATTTCTGTGGGGAAAATTCTTAATTCCCATGAAAATCACTCTTAATACCTTTTAAAAAATGTAACAATTGGGAAGGTAGTACTAACAGCATCACAACATGTATTGCACTCTTGGGGGTAAATGTGAGATGTTAGAATAAAATATACCACCATTCTTAGGGCAAGAACACTCTTTCCAGTTCCAGCTTGGTTAAGAAGAGGACTAAAACATGGGAGAATCAGAGAAACATTAGAATTGGGGGACAGTAGAATTCTGTTTGGCATAAATTATAAATTTAATGGTTGGTTAAGAATGTAAGTTAACTATAGCTATTTAAAAAATATACTCATTTTGGGAGTAGATGGGCATATGTTTATAAATATATTTTGAGATTTATATTACCAATCATTAAAAAGCTGTCTCATTCAAAAGAGAATAATTATTCTTAAGTAGCCCTAAGAAATAAAGACATATTATTGCATCATTTTCTTCCTTATTCTTCAAAAGTACTCCATAAGGTATCAGTTTATTGCTAACTCACAAAGAAAAAGTGCCTTATGTCCTGGTTCATGGTCTTCATCAACATACTAACCATGAATGCCCATTAAGCCATGAGACCCACAGTTAAAAGAAAGATACCATGTTGGGAAGTCTAATCACACAGGCTTTAGATTCAATATAAATTTATTTAAAAACAACTGCTATACATAAGAGTTCTGGGCCTTTAGTAGGAGCCTCCCTGGCGACTGTTTTTTAATAGCACAGGTCAAGAAATAAAGAACAAAGTAGTGATTATAACCTAGATTCAAATCCCTTTTGTCATTAACTGATATAGGTAGATCATAAGCTTAACTTTTTCATCTGTTAAATGGGGACAGTAGTTAGTCCTGTCTCACAGAGCTTTTTCAATTTTAAGTGAAATACAGTCATGCCTCAGTTATCAGTGCAGCACTAGTTCAAGGACCCTCTGTGGATATGAAATTTCATGTATGCTCAAATCTCTCTCATAAAATGGCAGTCTGCATATAATTTATGTACCTTCTATATATTTCAAATCATCTCTAGGTTACTTTATCTAATACAGTGTAAACAGTTGTTATATTGTTATCATTTTGGGAATAATGACAAGAAAAAAAGTCTCTACATGTTCAATAGATATTTTTTTCCCATAAATATTCAATCTGTTGATGTGGAACCCAGATAAATGCTAACTGTATTTCACCTAATCTCCTTTGCATAATAAGTGCCACTAAAGAGGCTTTAGGAGAAAATAACAAGGTTTCTGGTTGTCTTTACTCAGTTGAGCCTAAAGTAGGCATAAGAAAACAAACTTGGAAAGAACAAATATAGTCTATTTTATCAAGAAGGACCCCATTTTCTCGACTGAAGATAAACTGTGGCTTACAGGCAAGTTTTAAATGGTTGGAGGAGGGAAATCAATGAATATGCTTTGTGACACATGAAATTTTATGAAACTTTCCATGTCCAATAAGCAAAGCTTTGTTGGAAAACAGCTGTGCTTATTTGTTCACCTATTGTCTATGGTTGCTTATGCACTGTAATAGTACTCAAGTTGAGTGTCACAGTTGTAGTTATAAGCCAACAAAGTCTAAAATGTTCTGGCCCTTTCAGAAAAGGCTTACTGACTCCTGCCCTAACGTCAGGATGTAAATGATCCATTTACTTGAGCAAAACTTCAAAGCTGACTTCTTTCAACTAAATGAAACAAATTCTGCCCCAATGAATAGATAATTTCCTCAGTAACAGGAAACTGAAAAGATCATTCAACCGTTACTGAGTGCCTATATGATTGTAAATACTGTATTATACCCAATTGATTGATCTGCTAGTTTATTTGCCAGTCTTTTCAATGAAGTGCAAATTCCTTGAAGGTAGGAAGAGTTATGCTGTACCAGGTTTATCACCAGTCAAGCAAAGTACTTAATTGCATAAGCAAAGTAAAATTATTTAAGGCAACCCTTTCCCAAAATATTACTAAAAACACCATTTTAGTCATTAACAGTCTGTGATTAGCATGGGGAATAGTAAATGGGACACCAAGTAATACAACTTATTTTTATTCCTTTTAACGTCCTTCATAAAAGCCCCCCTCCTATATCATCTGATACAAATGTAATTTAAAAACTATTGTCTTTTTTATAAGCAGACATAGACATCTAAAGTACCACCCCTAACCTCAAATGCCTTATTCTGGCGAGACATTGAAGGTCAAGGATAATGATCACATATTACTTGGCAACAAAAAACTATTTTCCTAGTCACATTCTGTTTCTTGTCTTTTTACCAGTTTCCAAATATTCACGGCTGTTCAAGGATGGATGAAATGCAGGAGACTTTATTTACTACACACTTAACCTAAATTAGGTAAATTAAAATGGCAAAGGTATTGTATATCAAACACTGACAGCTTTCAAGACTTAGAAAGGATTGTTATTTGCTTCTAAAAATGTTCTATTTTCCTCTGTAGGAAAATGATAGATTTTTTCCCTACCAATATTAAATAATCAAAGTACTTATGCAAAATTAATCTGCTTTTCAATGAGCAGATGACTGCTCAATTTAAATGATCTTTACAGATCTCTGAAGTTGCTATCCTGTCACTATTTCAGTGATGGATATTCAATTGAATTTTTCTGCATAAATAGTTCTGTTCAATCTAGAAATGAAGTAGTATAAGACAGATACAGTCAACAGTTCAATAAATATGCAAATTTCTAAAAGTATTAAAATGTACGTTTGGTAACAAACTATCACACACTTAGGCTTAGAAGTATTCTCAATTTTTTTTTTGAAGGAAACTTGTGTTTGATTTTTTTTTTGTTGAATGACTAGTTATTTTTCAAGTTTCTTCTTCTTTTTCTCTGGTTCATTAAGGTCGGCATTTGAAGAATCAGTAGGAATGCTTATTCCTGGTATCTAAAATAATGCAAAGAGAAAAGATGATTAGAAGCATGAAATAAGAAATAAATCTTACCATCATCTGACCCCTTCTCCCATTACTACTATGAATTTTAAAATGCTATGCGATTGGGAAGAAGGAGCTATAACGATTTTTACACTAAAGGTATATATACTTTACACACAAAATAATAGTGGTTTAGAAATGAAAATGGTAAACATGGTTTCACTAGCTAAAAAAGCTAGTCATTTGGGCAGTATGTTTGAATGAATGTATGGCTTCCTCATGTCCAATTCACCCTAGTGGAGCCACTATGATTGATAGAGAGCATCAGAGGTTTCAGGTGTGTTGTGGCTGGATGAAAGAATAATATCTTACAAAGATTTTAAGAAGCGTCAAGAAAGAATATCAAGTGAAACATACATTTGATCTTCAAAAGTGCAGTTTCTAAAACCCCTGCAGAAAAGGATTAGGCAGGAGAACTGAAAAGATCTTTGATTTTGGCAACAAGAACCTTAGGAGAATCTCAAGATGAATGAGGGAAATCAGCATATATTTGTATTCCACACTGTTTACAGGATTCTCTTTAAATTAAACAGAAATAACTATTTCCCTCTCTTTTATAAACTTTGTACTATTGTTCCATCATAATGCAGAAATTAGTAAATTTGGTCTCACCTGTGGTTCTACCAGGGCCATTCGGATTTTTTGATGCTGAAGATTAGATGAGTCTAACATGATTTTCACTTTCACTTTATCAAACACGTGGAACACTATGCCTTCTATTTTAAGTGATGGTATCTTAAAAAAATAAAACACATTTTATCATACTACCTTATTTCTTACACTTGAGGCTCCGTTCTAATTCTTTATAGTTTATCTTTCCTAATAACTTGAAAGTTTAAAAAGTACTTCAATATTAATAAGCATCTAAGTGTTCAATATGATAAAAGTTACAAATCTAGTAATCTCAAATAAATATGACCTATTTATATGCATACGTTATTCTTTCACTAAGGTGGTCCCAAAATATATTCATCAATTTCAGGATTATCACGCTACTAATTAGCAAGTTGTAGTTCTAGTAAAGGAAACCAAAGTTCTTGGACACAAATTATTATTTAAATCTTCTCTCAAAGAGTTGTAGTTGTATTTAGTTTAGGGAGACAAAAGTGTGTGATATGAGAGACACTGGGAGAAGTTAGAAACAATTTTTCCCCTGGGCATGGTGGCATTTGCCTGTGGGAGGCTAAGACATACAGGGGGATAGTAAATTCAAGGTCAACTTCAGCAACTTAGTGAGATACTCTCTCAATATAAAAACTAAAAAGGGGGCTGGGGCTGTAGCTCAGTGGTAGAGTGCATGCCTTGCACACAGGAGGAACTGAGTTCGATCCTCAGGACCACACAAAAATAAAGATATTGAATCCATCTACAACTAAAAACATTTTTTAAACAATTAAGCAGGACTGGAAACACAGCTCAGTGGTAAAGAGCCCCTGAATTCAATCCCCAGTATCCAAAAGACAAAAGCTTTCCATAAGGTATAAGCAGCCATTGCCATTTATTTCTTTATGTGTACACGAAGGGTAAAACTTTACTTACTATAGAAGAAAGAAGTCAATGACAACATTCCTATGCGGGAAGAGTTGTGAGTAAAATCATACTTTAGTCACTATAATAAAATGTAGATTTCCTGGCACATATTTAGATACACAATAAATTCTATAGGATACAGAAAATAATTTCATACTTTACAGCTACCAATTGTGAACTGTCAAAAGAAAAAATGCCTCCCTCTCCAAGAAAACAAAATATTAAAATTACTGTACCTCATCGTCATAAATAAGATGTGGCTTTGGTTTGTCCTTTTCTTCAAAAAAAACTGTACCTTCTAAACCGTACTTTGGAATTAATACCACAATAGCATTCTTTCTTACAAATAGAATATAGGCCTCTTCACTTACTATTCCTTTGCTTTTGAAAAATAACTGTAAAATAACATACAACTTTATTAAAAAAATTCTTAAGATATTTTGAAATTTACAAAAATAATTTTGAAATTAAGTAAAAAATGTACAAATTTTCTCCTAGCATCAGTGACAGAAGGCACGTACCTGGGTATGAAAAGCCACTGATGCACGTTGAGCATACTGAGCCATCTTGTGCCGGAAATTAAGATTTTTACATATATCAGCAAGCTTGTGTTTATCTGTCAACTCTGGATAAGTACAGTCAGCCCCAATAGCCACAGCCAACAGTCGATGAACAATGATGTCTGCATACCTAGATGTATAAAGAAGTAAGCACCATGGCAAATTATCATTAAAATGTCTTTTTAAAATTCAAAATTAACCATATATTACACATTCAACATATATTCATTAATCTCAGGATTCTCACCTTGCTAGTTATTAGCAAAAGTGCTGTTCTAATAGAGGAAGACAAAGTCAGCACAGATTATTGTCTAAATATTCTCAGAGTTGCAATTACATTAAGTTTAGAGTAGTAGAGAGTGTTCCAGATAAGAGATACTATAAGAAAAGAAAAATTTCCTTCCCTGAGTTATAAGCAGCCATTTATATCTTTACCTATCCACCTAGGGTAAAACTTTACATGCTATAAAATAAATAAATCCAGGACAACATAATTCTATAAGGAAAAAAATACCTTCTGATGGGAGAAGTAAAATGTGTGTATATTGGGGATGCTAAACCATAGTGATGAAAATCATTATCCATTCCAGAACAGAAGTATACAGCTTGCATCATACAGCGAGTGGCTAATATTCTCAACAGAGTATTTAGATATGGAAAAGCAGGAGATTCAGCCTGGTCCAAAGACTGAGCCAAAGACTTGGCTGTATCAGTTTTAATTTCCAAATTCTATGAATAGAAGGAAGGGGGAAAGCACAACATGAAACATTTCTTAATCAGTAGTACTATGTCTTCAAAATATAAACAGAACAAACTTTTTTTTTTATTAATAAGATAATCCAGGTTTTAACCTTTTATCCCTTAGTTGGAAGTACTTAAAATATCTGTGTAAGTGGTGATTGTTTTGTACAAAACCAAAGTTTAAAATTTCCTGAATGCATTTAAAAATACAAAAGTACCAAGACTATGACGAAACTACAATGGGGAAAAAAAAGATGGTGATAGCAGTAGTTCTATTATTTCTCAAAGTCTAGTTTGTATTTATGAATCTCTGTAGGAGTGAAGAAAATCAAAGCAGATCTGATACATTTCAGTATGTTTGGATTTTTCTCTGCAGATATTTTTCTTCCATTCAGAGTAGAGGTAAAGGTCAAAACACTGAACTTGTCAGTAAAGCCCAGTTAGTACAATGTTGTGATCTGAGGCATTTAGCTGCTTTACTCATATTTTGGGGAGCTGAAAAAAACATATTAAAACTTCCTTCCTCTACCCAAATCTTAGGAATAAACAAATAATGAGAGGAAATCTTCTAACAAATACAGTAATCCTTGGAGCAGAAAAGTTGATTTGTTTTGTGGGACATGGTAAGGATAGGTACTTTTTAAAGGACTGAACCAAAATGAGAATCCTATACCATGCTATTAAAAATAATGTCTGTTATCTAAAGCCATTCCTTCCAACCTCTCTTCTACACAGGAAAAACAGGACCTAATAATGATTCAAGGAAAACCAATGTAAGGTAGAATTAACCCAAGGGTAAAGGAAAGCCTACTAACTAGAGACAGGGTGTATGCAGGGCTGAAAAAATGATGCCCTTTCTATATTTTCCTCTTTTCCATATATGAAACACATAGCCTTCTATTAGGGACATGATAAAAAGAGTGCTTTTTGAAGGTAAAACAAATTATGTGTAAATCTCTAAAGTTAGGCAGTTCATAGAAACCATGTATAATGGACATGTATAACCATGTATGTGGGAAAGCTCTATATGTCCAGAACACTGCAAATAACTTGGTCTAGAACTTCTGACAAAGCAGATATGAAGGTCAGTATAGGAAAATATGAGCAAATCTAAGAGTGAGCGAGCTTTCTTTTTTTTCTTCCCTATCATAAGAACTACTGGTATATTTTCACATCAAGAAATAACAAAATTTTATGGAAATGTGAATATGTGTGTATATTTTTTTATTTATTTATTTGTTTACTTACTTATTTACTTATTTATTTTGTGGTGCTGGAGATTAAACCCAGGGTCTTGTGCATGCTAGGCAAGTGCTCTATCACTGAGCTATATTTCCAGCCTGAATATAAATTCTTTTGTGCAATGGATAGATAACAACCAAAATACAAATAATTTTTCAAACTACGGAACCTTACTTTGGACTTAGCTGCCTTAACAAGAATTTCATAATTTGATGGAGGTGGAGCAGGATGTTTTCGAAGCAAAGCATGTTCAGAAAATTCTTCATGAATTTTTTTTGCAACAGAGATATTAGCCAGTAACATGAATTCTTCCACCATGGAATTTGTTTCCCTGCCAATGGAAAAAGCATTAAACAAGAGAATCTGATACTTAAATATATCATACTTATTCACAAGTTACCTTTTCTACCAACAAGATATAGGAAGCATTTCCTATGTAAACATTCACACATGTGCACATGTATTTTTTTTTTGAGAGAGAGAGAAAGAGAGAGAGAGAGATTTTTAATATTTATTTTTTAGTTGGCGGACACAACATCTTTGTTTGTATGTGGTGCTGAGGATCAAACCCGGGCCGCACGCATGCCAGGCGAGCGCGCTACCGCTTGAGCCACATCCCCAGCCCTTTTTTTTCTTCTTAATATTTATTTATTTTTTCTAGTTTTCAGTGGACACAACATCTTTGTTTGTATGTGGTGCTGAGGATTGAACCTGGGCCGCACGCATGCCAGGTGAGTGCGCTACCGCTTGAGCCACATCCCCAGCCCCCGCACATGTATATTTTTAATACCTATGGCTCTTTCATTTCTCAGCTACTATGCTAACAAAATTTTATTATGCGTCTACAGAGTAAATCTAACTTGCCAGAGATTTTACAGATGGCATTCAAGAAAACTGAAACATTATAGACTTTATTAATATATATAAACTCTGAAATTTACTACCTTTTACTTGGTCCAAAGAACCTATCAATAAATTACTAAATTGAAAAGAACATATTTATAATAACTAATCTGGGTTCTTATTATGTATCAGACATTGTGGTACATAGATATTTATAAATACGTACACACACACACACACACACACACACCTGCTTTGCAGATTAGAAAATACAAGATATGCAGCATTCTCTTGTGAAAAGTCAGTGTTATCAGTATGAAAATCTGAATCTACACAATCCAACTTCAAAACTCTTGACCAAGGTGATATTGCTTTCATGCTACAGTTTTTCTATGTTCTTAGCTAGCTTTAATAAATGATCTGCATTATTTTATATGCAAGTCACTGAACATGCAGTATTCTTTCATTCATGTTTCCCGTATTACATCTAATTTCTTGATGAAATGTCTAAATTTGATTAATTTTTTAAATTTAGAAAGATCTCCAATCATAAGGGGACAATCTCTTAGACATGAGATTTTCCTTCTTAGTAGGAAGAAATGATTGATATTCTACTCTGGTTCCACTTTTGGCAACCTTTTCCTCAAGAAAGCTTTAGTATTGGGCTCATTGTTGGTACTAACATTGGAAATATTCCTGCAGACATTTCCCCCTAGGAATTTTTAAATTCTAACTCTATTGCTCTATAGCACATTCTGTTCCTAAGTAAAAATTCTGAATATATTTCAATGTTTAACCCTTGGGTTACCTATTAGAAAAGTGTGTGTGTGTGTGCATGCGTACACGTATGTTTAATTTCAGAATTACCTCATGTAAGACATGGAAAGAAGCATAAATTCTGACTTAACCAAATATATTATTGCTTCCTAAATCTTAACTAAAACAGTAACACAACATCAATAATTAATGTCCTATGAGGAAGTCCCATTATTAATCATATTTTATAGACAGAAATTAAGGCAGACAGAGGACAAATTACTTGTTGCAAGATACACGTATGGTAGCAGAAGTGGGATCCAAACCTAGATAAGTTAGGCTTCAAAGCCCTTGGTCTTGATTACTATCCTGTCGTACCTTTGTATATTTTACATTAAATACTTAAGTAATTAATCATGGCAAATCTTCTTTTATTTGCTATAACTATTATGAGTCAAGTTCTATTATATCATATACCAAAAGCAAACTGAGTCAAATTAGAAATATTTCTATTCCAATATTTCAGTTTTATATCAGAAAAACCAAAAAGAACTATAACACTTTTCTAAAGACTCCATAGGCCAAGAAAAATAAAATTCTAATAGAAGTACATATTTTGGATATGTTTTAGATATTAGATATATTAGTATATATCATTAGATATTTTATCTTAATTTTTAAGATAAAAATTTTATAAATCGCCCATCAAAAAAAATCACTTACCTAAGTTCCTTGGTTTGTAAGTCTATAGGATCATGAGTTTCACTGTCCATGTGGAATCGAATTTCTGGGGAAGAAAGAGTCAAAGCCCTAAATGAAAATTAAGAGGTAAATTAATCAAATGAGCCAATAATGGAGCAAAATTCAGAAAGTGACTCCTTTAAAACAGAAAATGACTATATCATGTGAGGAAGAATTGTTCTTCTGAGGACTTTATAACCATTCTATGAGTTTTATGTTCTATTTTCATAAATAGCTTCGTATTTTATAGCTATAAAATGAATTTAACAAGAGAGAATACCAAAACAGCAAAATCTGAGTCCTGTGCTTCTGAGAGTTTGTTTGTCTGCTTTGTAGTACTAGGGATTGAACTCAGGGACTCTCAACCACAGAGCAACATCTCCAGCTTTTCTGAGACAGGGTCTTGTTAAGTTGTCCAGGCTAGTTTCAAACTTTCAATTCTACTGTCTCAGCTTCTTAGAGTGGCTAGAGTGTACTACCATGCCCAGATGAAGGATATAAATATCTTCTGTATCCAAACTCTACAGTTTTTACTGGGCTAAGTAAATTTGCCATTACTTACAAATATAGAAAGTGACTAGCAGTATTTTATTTACTACAGAAAACAATGTATTAAAGTGGGGGACAATGAAGAGGGGCAAAAAGGACACTGCCATCATAGGCTAGTAACATCAGAAGATGCACAATCAAAAGTATATTCCACATAGATTAGCCAACAGAGAAGAGACTGATAAACCACTGATATTACAAAGAATGATGGCTATAGACATTTGAGTGTTAGGTGTCAGATAATGTACTATGTTAAGAGCTTTATATGCATGGTTCATTTAATAAGTTGGCACATTCTCTTTTGAGAAGTAAATTCTCAAGGCTACATATGAGAGTCTGATGTTTCTTTATAACTGAAGCTATTTTCATCAAGTCAGCTCCAAATCTACCTAAAACTAAAAATTTTAATAAGGCCAAGCAATCTTGGATGTCCAAGGAAAAGGAAGAAAAAAAACATAAGATGAGATGGGGTTAAGTGAAATTCTTAAGTCCTACTCTTCTTGACTCCCCTCATCTTTATTAGGAGCTCAGAAGGAATACCAGAAAGGGAAACTTAACAAATATTGTTTCCCATTTTCTTTTGTGCAAGCAGTACTTAATGAGGTTCTACATCAAATCTAATACATGTTTATTAATACATCTTGACCTAAAAAGCAAGGAATACCAATCACATTTTGAATTTTTTCTTCATACAACATTTCTTCATAGAAATGTTAATTTCTACCCAAGAGTATTAATACTTTAGGCAGCAAAAGATGTCCTATTATTATTATGATTTTTTTTACTATTGTATTTTCAATTCTCCCTAAGATTGAGAAGACGTTATACTATCTTTTACCAGTAAATGACTGTCAACTCAGAAAAAAATAAAAGCTGTTTTTGAAGTTAAAAAAATATTGTTCCCGAGTCAGGCATAGGAATACAGGTGGGTCATGTAAACTCCCCAGAAAACTGAGAAATAAGGAAAAATAAGAATGGCTCAGCATAATCCTCTAGAACAAAACAGTCTAGTTGAACTTTCTTCATTGATGAAGATGTTCTTTATCTAAAAAAGATAGTCACAAGTCACATGTGGCAACTGAACAGTGTAAATGTGGATGGTAAGACTAAGAAATTTTACGAAATTTATTTGATTTTAATGAACTTAAAAAAATTGGAGGAGGGCAGGTACCGGGGATTAAAACCAAGGGAAGTTTACCACTGAGATACATCCTTGACCCTTTTTACTTTTTTAGACAGGGTCTCACTTAGAGCCTCATTAAATTTTTGAGGCTGGCTTTGAACTTGTGATTCTCCTTCCTCAGTGTGTGCCACTGTGCTCGGCTGAACTTAGGCACATTTTTATGAAACAGAGGAGATGCAGATTTGCATCACCAACAAAAACAGTTTTAGTAACTGCTTTTGACATTATCTTAAATGGTATGAAAGATCAATATCTGAAAATCTCATGTATTTGGTTTCCACTGACAGCTGTCCTTCAAGAATCAAACTTTTTTTAACCGCTTTCCTTCAACAAGCTTGGGTTGATAGTCCTTATCTTAAACCTTTTGTAGTTAAAGAAATGTCATGATATTGGGCTAAAAGACCCTACTATGCCACTAGCTATCAGATCTTTGAGAAGATTTACCATGTAAATTTTAATCATTTAAAAAATAAAGGAGTTGAATTAAACGATTCAACTTCCAAATCAGAAAACGTACAATGTGTGAGTATAACTCAAAAATACATTTGGGGCTGGGGATGTGGCTCAAGCGGTAGCGCGCTCGCCTGGCATGCTTGCGGCCCGGGTTCTATCCTCAGCACCACATACAAACAAAGATGTTGTGTCCAACGATAAATAAAAAATAAATATTAAAAAATATATATATATTAAAAAAAATACAATGAGTACTTTACCTATATTTAAACATCTGAAAATCAATTTTCAATCTGAAAATTATTTCTCATTAAAACTGAAATAATCTGTAGAAGTCTTAAGAAGTTCTTGTCTTCATGGAATTTCTTCACAATCTTAAACTCCCAAACATCAGTCTAGAATCAAGCTAATATTTAAGAAGTAACTAAAAGAAATGGGATGTCTCTACCAAATCTCTATTAAGCCTATTAAATAGTTCATAAGTGACCATCATAAAAAACTTTAAAGAGACCAAACATTATCTTAATACTATTAAAAATAAATTAAGAAATAGCTTGATATTTTTCAAACATACCCCTTTTCAATTCTTCCTTTTTTCAGAATTTTAGCTAGTTTATTTAGTCCACGGAGACTAATGGTAATATCATCATTCACGGTTGCTGAATCAATTCTCATTTGAGCTTCAGCGTAAGTAAGAGAAGCCTAAAAAAGAAACCTTATAATTCTTAAAAATGATAAAAACTAGTTTACTATTTAAACTATATTATTTTGTCTCATATTTAAGATCCATGACTCAAAAAAACCTAAATCAATAACAAGAAAATAATCACAGCTAATATTTATGCTTCACATCTATGATTTCTAGTTAATTAAGTCTTATTTCAATTATTATACAACATAAGCAAACTTTTATTAAAACAAAGTAAACATGGCAACATTGTTAATAAATTATTTAAACTTTACTTCATAATTAAGTTGGTACATATTTAGGTAATGCTACAATAAAACAAAGGCAGGTTAGATCTATTCACTGAAATCCTTTCCAGATGTTCATTATTCCCTGACTCATGGCAAATAATTAACAATGCTGAAAGAGTCTAGACCTCATATTTTATAGGCAATCTAAAATGCTAAAATTAAGTGCCTAAAAATGGGACAAATCATAGTAGGAAAAATTTTTATCTCTAATGATAGATAATACAAATGTACAAATAGCTACTTCTGTTTCTATTTCCCTCCTGATGGAAAGCTAATCTTTCTTTAGCTTATCAAAAAAATTCGCTTCATAAGTAAAAATGAGAAACCACATAAGAAAGTGAAAACCAGTTTATTGTGTAAGGGCTGAGTTCTCCTTCTAAAAAATGTTTTTTATGTTCTCTAAATTCATAATATAATTTTGTCACACTGATCAAATTTAGGAGAATTATTAATTTATTATAATATAAAAAATAAAATGTTGGGAAAGCTTAAATAGTTTACACAATTCTATCTGTCAGTTTAACACTGCCTTTTTTCCAACCACTAATTTCCAGAACAAAAAAGAATGATACTAAATGGAAAGAAAAAAAAGGTAATTTTGGAAAACATGTCACTAGAAGGAAACAAGTTTGGCAAACATTGGGGGGACATTGGGGACAAAATGAGGGAGAATATAATGGAACCTGGGAAGTTTAAAAAAAAAAAAAAAAAAGGTAAGGAATGAGGACAATCTGGCTCCATCTGTCTGAACACGATCTCAGGCTAGTTCTATTGGAATACAACTATAATATATAACATCACTTCTATGAGAAAATGTGTACAAGATGATGATGTCCCTGCTATTTCTCAAAACACTATTTTTAATAGGAACAACTTTAATTACTGGAGTCCCTGATTTAGGGCGTAAGATAATATATTTAGTGTTCTTAAGTATATAGGCTTTGTATGTTTCTGAATGTAAAACAACTTCCACAAAAACTATTTTTTTAATAACATCAAGAATTAAGCAAATAGGGCTGGGAATATAGCTCAGTTGGTAGAGTGCTTGCATCTACAAATCCCTTGGTTCAAACCCCACAAAAAAAAAAAAAAAGGAAAAACAAAAAAAAGCAGCAGCAAATAAATGAAAAACAAGATTTTGTTAAAACACTGAAAAAAATTTAACTTTAAAACCTTTCAAAACAATCTAGGAAACTTGTAAAAGTATCCAAGATTTTAAACATTAGATGTGAGCAGTGAAACTAACCTTTGAATTAATTACACTTTTGGTAAATCTCGTTTTTAAAATTTCAGCATTGCGATTCATTTCCCAAATACATGAAAATGCCAGCCTATGGAGTGAAATAGACAATGACTGTTAATGGGAGTCAGTTAAAATAGTATATACATTTTTGATGAAAAAAATGCATAAATACCTGTCAACATTACACCTTAAGGAACATAAGTTAGAGCTAAGCAACTCTGGAACCATGTCAATCCTCTGTAAAAGATATAAGTAGATTCTCAGGTTACACAGCTTTTTATTTAGAGCTCTATTATCAATCAGCATTAAGACACCATGAGGAGAAAAGGAGACCTCTGGTCTTTTTTCTAGAATTAAGAAATGTCAAATGGAAAGTCTATTTGTAGAAAAGGATCTATACAAAATTGTAATGAAAGAAAACTGGACCTCAAGTCTGTAGATCTAAATGCTGCCACTAGCCACATAGCTGACCTGTGAAAGTTTCAAGTCTTTGGTCTTTATAAGTTGGTATTTATATGGAGTAGACACAAGCTACCAACTCTATGACTGGCAATGCTTGACAACAAACTACATTGTGTTTTACAAACACACACACACAGAGATAGATTAAATTTTTATGGAAAAAAGATACGGGGAGGTCTTTGACCATGAATCTAGACTAAGTGTAATCTTGCCCTCCCTTTCACAATCGTTCTATAAATTTACAGGAACCATACTTGAAGAAGAATAAATGCTACACAACAATTTATATCAACTACATCTACTTGTTATTTGGGTTACCAAATAACAAAAAATTGGAATATTTTCAGTAATTTAGGCCCCCTTATTCCATTTCCTATAGCTAAGTTATATACTATTTCAAACTGATTTTTCAGGAATCTGAAAGTGCCACTGAGTGTTCAGAGACTTTAAATTCAATACATTTACCTTTTCACAAAGATAAACCGTTGTTCCTCTCCTGGCTGATTCTTGATCTAAGGCATTTCCTGGCCTAATAAAATGGCTAACATCAGCAATATGAACACCAACCTTCAAAAGATAAAAAGATGCCAATATGCATTATTAATAGGGTAGAGATTGAATGAGAAGAAACTTAAATTGAATAAGAACTCAGTCACCTCTACCATTTCAACCTCCTGACACATGCCTATTAGTTTCTGTAACTATAACTTCATAAGAATAATTCATAAATTCTATCCTGAGTCCAAAGAATTATATTTAGTTAAGAATGTTACTACTAGTACAACATGAATACCTCCAAGTTTCCATTTTTGAGTTCTCTACAATGTAGAGCATCATCTATATCAGTACATCCTGGTGGGTCCACACTACACACACACAGATGCCTCAGGTCTTCCCGGTTTTTCATGTCCTAGATCATACAATATTATAAATGAGTAAGTAAGTAAATAAGTAAATAAATAAATAAATTCCATAGTATAAATGCAAAACAACCCTTGTAAAATCAGTATCTCCATTCAAAATAACTTGGCTTTAATTTAGTGATGACAATCATGCATGACTTCTAACCAAGTGTTTCTCTGCTTTTGAAAAATTTTAAATACACTAGTGTCGGCCTCCTAGAAAAGTTCGTTTTCAGTTAAAATGCAAATGATTGTGCTGCAACTAAATATGGTAGAGAAGGGACCACAGTTTTTACATATTTAAATACACATGTAGAAATTAAAAATAGTTAGGATAATATATAAAGTCACTATGAATTCTTTCAACTTACTTTTTCAGTAATGCTCCAGGGCATCTTTGGCAGAAAGCTAAGAACAGCCTGGGAAAAGGGCTGATGAGGAACATCATGCTCAAGTAATAAAACTTCTGTTTCCGTCTCCTTCTCTCCAACATCACCTAAATTTCTTACAAAGTGTCCCTAAAACCAAAAGGTGTTATTAGAAAGGCCTATTTTACTGCTATCTTGCATTTTTATGATGTTAAATTCTTCAGTATTTTACATATCACCTCAGTATTCTTAATTTTCCTATAGTAACTTCTTAAAAATGAAACTCTGGTAAATTAAAACTGAACATGACAAGACTTCTCAACTGATTTATGATGGAAACTTCATGAGGGCCCACTTTTTATATCATAGAACATGTTTCCTATTAATTTATAAGTTTAAAATGTGCTTCAAAAGCAAGTTTCTAAATTTGATTAAAATCTATTCAGACTAAAACACTTTTTTCATGTACACAATCACTAAAAGTTATTTGGTAATTTGGATAAAAGTAACTACATGATTTCCACTGGAATTTCATAAAATTGATCTTGAAATCAGAAATGCTACTTACCAGGTAACTTGTTGAAATATTCCTAATTTTTTTTTTTTTTAATTTTTTTGTAGTTGTAGATGGATAGAATGCCTTTATTTTATTACTTTTTAAATTTTTATGTGGTGCTGAGGATTGAACCCAGTGCATCACGCATGCTAGGCAAGTGCTCTGCCACTGAGCTACAGCCCAAGCCCCTAAATTTCTATCCTATATAGATTCTATTTTCATGAAAAGAAACAATATTACTCACAAATTGTTGATTAAATACCATAAGATAAAATTAATACTTTAAGCTTACATTTGGATATCTGGAATTTCTGGGCCATCCATCAATAGCAACAATAATTCTCCGTCCTTCTAATGTAGAAGCCTGTCTTGTTTCTATCCGAATTCGAGGGATTCTCTTATCAGCTGGTGTAAAGAGATGTCTTCTAGACTAGAGAAAATTATGGAAAAAGTTTGTTCGTTTGTTTGTAGTGCCAAACATTAACCCCAGAAATGTGCTGCATGATAAGGAAGCACTCTCTCCACTGAGCTACACCCCAAGTCCCAGAAAAAGATTTTATATACACACCCATACTCTGGGAATAGGGACAAAGTGAAGTCTCTAAATCCTACTAAATGTCTATAACTTTTTAATAGTTAACATGCTCTTTACTTACCTCCTTAATATCAGACTTGGAAAGCATGCCACAATATGGTCTCCAATTCCTTTTTATTATTCCTACAACTCTACCTGTAGGCTTTAACATTTTTTCATTTACAGCAGTCTTAAGCTGAGATATAAAAAAGAAAACCTTCAGTTATTTTTCCTCTAGGCATAATGAGGTATTCTCTTCAAAATTAGCATATGTACATGGATGCTAATTCATTCAGGTAGTAAGTAAATTATGACATTAAACTACAGAATCTTTATGCTTCAAAATTCTAGGTGGAGTATGCCAAAACAAACTACAAAAACTGTTCCATGATAAGAAGACATACAGAAATGAATTTTTTAAAAAATAGATATATCAAAACTTATTCTTTTTAGGTTTTAATATGAGAATTTAGTGACCAAAACAAGTCTAGGAAGTATACACTAGGATTTTAGATCTAGTTCACACTAATTAGCTAAGGTATATGGTTATGATGACTAGTTCACATTGAACTCATTAATTCACTAAAAAAGATACATCTTCAAATGGTCTTCCATATTCAAAATAAAAACTCAAGTAAGTAATGTCTATGATTTTAAATAGGTCTTCTTCTGGAATTTCACCTCTAACACACTCCAAAGGCCTGAATTTACCAATGACAATATTATAGTAAGACTCCAAAGAACTAAATATAACTGATGAGAATAGAAGAACTACAAATGTTGTATGTTTTTCCAATTATATTATTCTTATAATTATAAAATGGAAAATAAATAGGTCATATCAAGTAGACTTAGCTCCTAAGAAACAGTTGAACACATTCTCTTCCTAATAAATATGGTAGGGTACTAAAGATGAAATAATTAAATAGGCAAGAACACAAGGCTCAGAAGCACATTATGCTGATGGAATTTGAACATTACATAAAACATTTCAGAAAATTTTAAATTTATATTTACTTAAACATCATTATTTAAACCTTTAGATTGCATACTTGAATGTCAAAGATTCCCAGTTTTATTCCAAATTGATAGTCTTTTTGTATTTAAGCCCATTTGAGTAAATTAAGACATTAAAACAAATTATATGATTCAAAAAAAAAATTAACAATATGACATTTACTAAACTTTCACAACTATAATTTCATTTAATAATTCTGAAAACAACGAAATTGTCCAAAGGTGACATGTGAAATAATACTACAAAGTTATACAGGAAAAAAAAAAAATTCTTGATTTCATACCATTCGTTCTCTCTCCTCTTCTTTTTCCACATTGTCTTCATTTTGCCCTTCATCTTGTAAAACCACAGAAGATGGTGCCACCCACTGACTCTTAGGAAAAAGCTCAACAGCTACAATATCTTCATGAACAGCTCGATTTAAATGTTTAAGTCCTTGTAAGATTATCTGTTTAAGACAACAAACGGCAAATGCCCAGATATCTTAATGGAAAAAACAGAAAGGCTGTTTAATATGTTTATATATATTCTAAACATCTCTAGGTAATCTCTATTTCTTATAATGTTCCTTTGTCCCATACCTTTAATTTTTAAATATTAAGTAGAAAAAACACAGGTCAGAAAATAAGGGTTGTGTTCATGACTCCAAAATAACTTACAACAGTACCAAGAGACTTGGGACTATTTCTTAAACTCTAAATCTCAGGGTTCTTACCAGCAAAATGAAAAAAGAATAACTTGTCATCTATTTGGCTGAATATTAAATAAAATATTACATGCAAAGAGTAAGAAGAGTATCTGACAAACTGTGAGTACTCTAATAAATGGCTGATATTTGCATAAGTGTGGAAAGCACTCTATGTTATGCAAATAGTATTTATCATAACTGGTCATAATAAATATGGAAGTATCTCATTTTTGTTATTTGATGGATTAGCTTATTATTCTCTTAAAACTGGATTAATAGTTTTCAATAATCAATTTCCTAAAGAAATGACTAATTGTACTAGTTGTATTTATGACTTTCTTTAGCTGATAAACCGGGAAGGCAAATTTGAACTCTCATACAAAATTTTAAATACTTATTCAATAAGAGAATGATCAAAAAATATCTCCATGTATATGGAATTTATACTCGCCTCTTTATTTTCTTCAGTGTCTCCATGAATCCATACAGTAGCTTCTAAATAATTTTCCCTGCTAGCTCTAAATGTTCCTTGAAGGTATATACCAGATTTTATGCCTTGTTGTAGCTTACTTAGGGGAAGATGCTCTGAAAATATAATTTTCCCACTTTCTATTTCTTTCTGTGAAATAAGCAAACCAAAAATTGCAGTTAAGTTTTCTGCTTGTTCAGTAAACAACTGTCATTAATATCAGGTAATTAAAGGAAAATTCACATTGTGGTATATACAACTTATTAGGGTTTGGATGAGATATCCCCGCAAACGCCTTTTGTTAATGCAGGAATGTTCAGAGGTAAAGTAATTCAACTATAAGAGCTATAACCTAACCAGTCCAAACTAGTTTGAATAGACTGATTGGTGGTACCTGTGGGCAGCTGGGCATGGCTAGCGAGGTGGGTAAATGGGGGTTGCCCTAACAGGGTTGTCTGTCCTGCAGGATGTCTTCCCTTTTCTCTTTACCCCTTTCTGCTTCCTGGCTGCTACAAAATGAGGAGACTTACTCTACTGTGCCCCTTTAGCTGTGACATCCTGCCTCACCATGGGCCCAGAGCAATGGAGTTGGGAGTCTATGAACTGAGACCTCTGAAACCATGAGCCCCAAATAAACTTTTCCTCCTCTAAGTTGTTCTTACTGTGTATCTTGTTCACAGAGACAAAAAGATGACTAACACACAACTCCATGAATTTGAGACTATAGCACAGTATTTCAGACCACTGCTACCCAAGACAACTTTTTGTGATAAAGGAAATATTCTTTTCGTTATGTTTAATATAGTAGCCACTAGGCACAAGTTTCTTTTGAACGACTGAAAGATGGATAATACAACTGAGAAACTGAATTTTTAAAGCTGAATTAAATTTAAACACCCACATGCAACTAATGGCTACATATTAGACAGGGCAATCCTAAATCTATATTCCAACAATCAAGACTAGCTTTTATCTTTTCTCTTCCTTTTAGTTTCATAAAGCAGCTGGTTAAAGACAAGCAGGAATGGAAAAATAGTTGTAAAGATGGGATGTATCAGCCAAGCACAGTGATACACTCATATAATTCCCATAGAAGACATTTCAAAAATTACTGACCTCCAGAATAAATTGTAGGTCCTCATTATCTGGTCCCCTCTCCTTTTGTTTTATTTCTTCTTATGATATCCCTCCCTCTTCTTCTGAGATCTTTACTGTCTGCTTTGTCTACCACTTCTTTATAAATAACCACTATGTATACACAAATCAGCCATGGGCATCATTCATTTTTTCATTTCAAAAAAAAAGAAAGGGCTGGGGATGTGGCTCAGTGGCAGAGCGCTTACCTCCCATATGTGAGGTGCTGGGTTCGATCCTCAGTACCACAAAAAAATAAATAAACAAAATATACTGTATCCATCTACAACTAAAAGAAAAATTAAAAAAAATAGAGCCACCATGTGCCAGGCCCTATTTTAAAAAGTTTACATTTAGGAATTGCATTCCAATAAGCCTATTACAATCACTCTTGTTATATATAACACAATAAACAATTTTATTCAAATTCTAGCTTACTGACTCATATTCCAATTTTTAAATTTGGTAACTGTAAGTCTCATATCTCAAGGAGGCTATTTTAATATTTTCACTTTTCAAAAACAAAAGAAATTGGCCAGGTGCAATGATGTATGCCTATAATCCCAGTGGCTTGGGATTATAAAGCCAGTTTCAGCAAAAGTGAGGGCACTAAGCAACTCAATGAGACCCTGTCTCTAAATAAAATACAAGACAGGGCTGGGGATGTGGCTCAGTGGTTGAGTGCTCCTGAGTTCAATATCTAATACCCAACAAACAAACCAAACAAACAAAATTGAAACATACCCCTTCTTCAGATAAACAAGCAAGACGATCTATGAGTTCAGGGTTAGCAGTGAGGCTCTTTACATATTCTTCACCTGAAAATTAAGTTGACATTGTTCTTAATTAATTCAAATGTCTTTTTCCCTTAGCTATGAAAGATCATGAAAAATCTTATTTCTGACACTGTCAATCTGAAATTAAAAATGAATCTTTTGATATGGTCCTGTCTCAGAAGCATCAGTAGGTCCAGTATATTGCAAGTCGACTGCAAATAGTAAGGGAAAAATTAACAGTTAATGAACACAACAACTGACTTGACTTAAAAAAAAACTCTGAGAAATTAAAAAATGAAAAAAAAAATCACATGCAATTATATGGGAAAATGAAAATATTATATAGTCAAGTGAACATCTGACCATAGGCCTGATCATAATTTTTACATACAATTAATTATAAGCATGCAGTAATGGCTTCTACTTTTAGACTTACAGGTGAAAGCTGGTATTCCTTCTTCAACAGCTTTCTCTTTGTTTTTCCTGTCATTGGTTATAAAGATAACTTGTAGCTGATTTTCTGCTGACATTTTCTTCAAATGTTCATTGTACCATTTTGCTGCTACTCGAATGGCTCTATCATTTCTGTCATTAGCATTTTCTCCCTGTTCTTGTTCTACATAGGTTTCTCTAAATGTAAAGAAAAGGGAAAATGAAATGAAGGAAACGAATAGAAACAAAGATGTAAAAACTACGAGGACACAAATGTTCAACCACTAAACTGAAAAGTCAATAGTGCATCTATTTCACTTGGATGTATAAACTTAGGCTTCAGAAAATCAACAGGATCCTTACTGGTATGATTTTTCTTTTTTTAATACCTACCTTCTAGTTGTAGTTGGATACAACACCTTTATTTTATTTATTTTTATGTGGTGCTGAGGATTGAACCCAGGGCCCCATATGTGCTATGCAGGCACTCAACCACTGAGCCACAATCCCAGCCCACGCTGTTATAATTTTTTAATTAATTGTTTTATTTATATATGACAATGGAATGCATTATATTTCTTATTATACATTTAGAGCACAATTTTTCATATCTCTGGTTGTATACAAAATATATTCACAAAGTATATTCGTGTCTTCATACATGTACTTTGGATAATAATGTCCATCACATTCCACCATCATTTCTAACCTCATGCCCCCTCTCTTCCCTTCCCACCCCTCTGCCCTATCTAGAGTTCCTCTATTCCTCCCATGCTCCCCTTCCCTATCCCACTATGCATCAGCCTCCTTATATCAGAGAAAACAACCCCAGCCCACACTGGTATAATTCTTTAAAATATTTTTTACTAGTTGGTGATGGACCTTTACTTATTTATCTATTTATCTATCTATTTACTTATTTGTATGTGGTGCTGAGAATCGAACCCAGGGCCTCACACATGGTAGGCAAGCGTTCTACCACTGAGCCACAACCCCAGCCCCATGATTTTAAGACAACAATTTGCTTGTAATAGAAGAAAATTATACTATTAATGGGACAATAAAAAGGCTCAGAAAATTTTATTTTACAAAAAGAAAAATTCAAGGCCAGAATTAATAATCTTAAGTTGGGACAGTGAATAATAGTTCACTACAATAAACTAATAAAACTTTGCAGATCTGATGAGATGTTATTCAAACTATACTACAAATAATTTGATTAGATGATTTATGGTCATGTGATTCCAGTCATTAAATATATACTCTGTGTAAATTATCCATGTAAACACTTAATAAATGGTCAAGGCTCTCTAAAGACTAAAAGAGCAGACAGAGATGATTGTATTTCTCTTCTAAGTCTTCCACTCTGAGCTCCCAAGTATATGAACACACTTATCTACTTCTTTAAATCTGTTCTTCAAAGTCAGACTGAAGCATAACAACAAAATTCAGTACACTACTCTCTAGTGTTTAAAGATAATAAATTCAGTTTTAGAATTTTAGACTTATTTATATTGATAATAGAATTATTTTATTCCCCACCATATACTTGCTAGTGCTTTAATCTAATCAATGAGCAACATGGTCATAAATTTGAATTTGGTTTTACTAAGACTTGAGTAATAAAATCTCAGGTGTAATTTGCCTAGTGTCCTAAGAGTCTTCCCATCAATTCTAGCATTGTTAAGTCCTATTCACAGCACTTGAGCTAACAAAATTGCTAACCACTGGTTAGAAACCAGATGAATATGTCCCACAAATACTTGGTCTTTTAGTACTAAAAACAAATTATGTTTCTGTTTCTGGATTTCAAAGAAGTGCAAGGATCACGAAGTCTATAGTGCTTTAGTGATAACCTTTAGGAGAGCAATATTTAATTTGGGGATAAGAGAAATTTGAGAAATTAGATTTTTTCAAAATTTTGCATAATTTGATGGATTTTGTTACTAGACTCTATATTCTAATGCAGTGGTTCTCAATCAGGGGTTGAATTTGTCCCTAGGGGGCATTGGGCAATATTTGGAGACATTCTGAGTTGTTACAACATGGTGGTGGTGGTAGGGGAATTGCTATTAGCAACAATCAAATAGAAGCAAAGGAGCTGCATCCTATAATGTATAAGACAGCCATACCACAATAAAATATTATTAAGTTCAAAATGTCAATAGTATTGAGGCTAAGAAACTATGATGAACCCAGTAAAAGTATCTCCTTTACAAAATTATATTTTATCATGCTATGTTGGTTATTCACATATTATGGTATTCCAGGAACCTATGCAAATCTCATCTTCCAAGAGTCCACTCACTGTTCAACTCAGGCTAAAACCAAATTGAAATAAATACATTTTGGAAGTAAAAGTAACTATTACAGGCTAAACGCCAGTATATTCTAGTTTTAGGCTTGACCTCACCAATGCTAATGTGACCTTAGTGAGATCCACTTAGCATTATTTTCCACACAGCTGTGTAAGACCCAAATAGCACATAAAACCATCATAAACCTTTGACAATGTCACAAATTACTAACATGAATTTTCTATCACATTTAGCTAATTTTGTGAAATTTAACATAATTTTTCTCTTACCTATGGTGCTCATTAGTGAATGTATAAAAATGCTTTTCCTGGTTATTAGTCACATCCCGGATTCTTTTATATACAGGAGCACTCCTATTTCTCACTTCTTGGAGAACCGTTTGTAGTACAATTACATTCCTGATGGCTGGGTCCTCAAGAACATCAATCTTTGAAAAATAAAAGTGTTAATTCTTCCTATATTCATTTATAAACTGTTTCGGTCAAACAACACCTTGTCGGTTTAAAAATACTGACTTGACATTAAGCCAAGGAATTATTTTGCTTTTAAAAAAAAGTGACAAGCAACTCTCAACCCTTCAGGCCTAATTGAGAAGAGCACACGTAAACAGACCATTCACAAAACTTCGTAGAATTAAGGCTATTAATAAAGAAATATGTTGGCCCACATAGTTTTTGTTCGTAGGCACTTACAAGCTGCCTGGGGGTCGCAAGCTGGAAGCCTCAGAAGCCCAGGTCCCCGGCTTCCAGGCACTTATAATCTAAGGAAGGTAGAAGAGACACCAGGAGTTAGAAAATTAACGTGTCTAAAATAAGACTCCAAAACCGAAAAAAAGGGAAAAATAAAGAAAAAGGCATAAGGAAAAGAACTTCAGCCTGGGAAAACGGAAGTGAGGGTCCCTAAGGGGCTTGGCTCTCCAAAGTACGAGGTACTGCCAAAGACCCTCCTCCCTGAGCCTCAGTTTCCCTATCTGCCACGCCCCCTCGTCCTGGGAAGGCGAGCGATACGCCCTTCGTGCTCCAGCCGACGCACCTGATGCAGTAAAACGTTGGTGTCGGGCAGCAAGTAGTGCGGCCGCGGCCAGAGACTGCTCGCGGGGTCCTGGGGCAGAGGCTCCAAAGCCGGTCCACCGTGCGCCCCGCCGCACGCCGCGCACCCAGGCGCTCCGCAGCCTATGTCATCCCTCAGGTAGTGCTCGCGTACGATCTTCATGACGCCGCCCGCCCGGGTCTTTTTCAAGAACGTCTTGGATTTGAGCATCTTGCCTCGCGAAGTAGAATCCCGACCCCACGCAGAATCCCAGCTCCCACAACACTCTTCCGGAGAAAGAAGCTTCAAACCACGAGCCCGGTCGCACGACTATACCTCACCCAGAGGTTCGCCGCTTCCCGCTCCGGGATATCAGTGCACATCTCTCGCGGAAAAACTCCGAGACAGACGCTAGTCGGCTCTCTGACGGCTTCGAGGATTGGACGAGAGCTCGCGGCTCCGGCAGAGACCGCTTCCGCCCGTGGCCTGGGCGGGGCTTGCCGCAGGACTCCAGCTCCCAGACTGCCTCGCTTCCCGCGCCTAAGGTACCTGGCTGGTCGGGTTCCGGTGGCGTGGGCCCTTGCACACCGCCTCTTCTTCCGTCCTCCTTTGCTCGCGGTGGTGGTTGTCTTGGTTACGGCGCTTAACGGTCCCCGGCGATTCCTTTTTGAGGGGTTGCACCCTGAGCTGCTGACTGAAGAAGCCTTCGGTTCCTGGAAGAGTCGGGGTGGTGGCAGGTCCACCCGTGGATGTGGAGTAATTGACGCTTTTGAGGTATCTTGCAATTACCAGTTTCCCTTTCTTCCCTGCGTGGGGCAAGGAATTCTCCGAGGTTGCCAAGTTTGGGGCTTACTCGTCACACCAAATGGTCAGGGCAGTCTTGGGCTCTGAACCTTCGTAATTCAGAAAAAGATTTGCCTTTGATTTTTACCTTTCTTTATCTCCCTTCTCTTTAAAGAGGAGGAAGGAGGCCGATCTTAGTGTTTCCCCTCCACACACCTCTTTCCTAATCCGGCTTAGAAAACCTGAAATATACAATATCATAAATAATTTATTTTATCCTGTAGTATTTAAAGATGAAAGTGGCTAAAAATTCTTGCAAAAAGGTAAGACGTTCTACTTAGAATTTTCTCTTCTATTAGTTCTACGAATTTTTCTCTTCTACTCTTGTTTTCATTCTGGGATCTAGCTTGTCTATCTAAAATGTTTTTTCTCATTGTTTCCCCGTTTAGAAACTCTTCAGTCTTGCTTCGTTGCCTGTAGAATAAAATCCGAACGCAATATGACATTTAAGTCAGCAGTCTTGATTTTTTAGGGTGCATGGAGTCGGGGTGAATCACTGTTCAAATTCATGGATTTGCTAGAGCTGCACTACCACTGTCTTCTGCTGCTGTTCACACTTCTTCCACCTCTAGTCCCACCTAATGCCTGCATGATTTCCCTTTTATACTACTCCTGTCCAAATTCTTCAAAATTTTAAGTCCTATATCTGTATAATCTTACCTGACCAACTCAGAAGTGATTCTGTTAGAGGGACAGTTCTTCTTCTCTTTGAGATTGTGTTGCTTTTAATGGGTGCATATTGGGGTACTAATGGACTTCATTTTGTACATCTCTTTGTTTCCTCAGAATAGGATTCTTGCTACAGGATTTTTTTTTTTTTCATTCAAAGAGCTGAATTCACAGTAGGATTTACTCTGTGTTTGATTTAGCAGTAATTTACTGTAGTGCTCTGTCTTAAATTTGGGGTCTTCCAAATTGCTTAATTATTTGAGGAATTCTTAGTACCTCATTAATGCTCTCTACTTTCTATTAATGTTTTGGTATATTTAAATTTTTGTTTGTTTTTAATCTACAGAAGATTAAATTGGGAAAGAAAACTGGCCCATAATAAAAGATGTCTCGAAAACTTCCTACGGAGCTCAAAAAAATAAATATCTCCAGTTCTCTGGAATCTGAAGATATTAGCTTAGAAACAACAATTCCTACAGATGATATTTCCTCGTCAGAAGAGCGAGAGGGTAAAATGAAAATAACCAGGCAGCTAATTCAACGCAAAGAACTGCTTCATAATATTCAATTACTGAAAATAGAACTATCCCAGAAAAATATGATGATTGACAATTTGAAAGTGGATTATCTTACAAAGGTAAGACCGGGTGTACATTTTGTTATTTACATTCTTTATCATCTTTAAACTGCAGAAAAATAAAAAAAATTTATGTATGTTATCTGAACTTAAAATGATACACTTATATTCCTTGTCCTGGACAGCCTTTTAATACTTTGAGTTTTGAATGATGGAGTGATTTAAATGTGAACAGAGATGAATTTACTTCTGTAGGCTCCATTTTTAAAATCTAGCAGTGTAAGTTTTATTTTCTTAGGTATAATTTCTACCTAAGTTTTTTCTGCTTCATTGACCATGACGTGACTAGTTGGATAGGAAGAGTCAAGAGCATGATTATATTATTGAATCTGTATTGTCCTTGTCCTAGAAATTGAATTCTTTGTTCTCTTTCTTTTGGTAGTTACTGAGACTTTCTGTTTGATAGTTACTATGTCATACAAGGAGTCATAAACTCATGTACCATAGTCTTTAGTAAGTGTTGTTTGCCATGCAAATAAGAATATTCTAGTCCTTGGTTTTTGGCCCTTTCTGCTTATTTACAAGTTCAAAGTTGTTTTTGTAAGACCTGGTAAAGTTTTCACTAGCCCTAGGAAATATACATTGATTTCAGAAAGATAAGAGACAGTTCTTTACTGTTACTATTTCTGTTTCCAAGAAAATCTTTTGTTTACAATGGTAAACCCTTCACCTTTGCTCCTGGTCCCAGCTCTTTCTACTCCTCCATTTTGTTGTTTCATTTATACCTTTCCTTGTTAATTCAGTCTTTCATTTTTAGTTCTTGTCTAGCTACACTAACATACTTTAGTGTCCTGTAGAAATACTTCTTGACCATATGTCTGTAGTAAAATAAGTTGTCTCAAACCTTAAAATCTCGAAAAAGTAGAGAAGTAATTTAGGTAAGCTTTTTCTAAAATTAATATTTTAAATTTAATATTTAACACTTATTGAGTTTATTTTGTGCATAGACACTCTTCTAAGAGCTTTTTATTTGTGGTTTTATTTATGCCTCATAAATCCTTTGAAATATAGATTCTTTTGAGGGGATAGGGTCTTCTATAACCCATCTTATTAATGAGTCAATAAAATAAGTTAGACTAGTACTGTTACTTAGTGCCTTATAACATTTGAGCTGCTATAACAAAATACCAGAGGATAGGTAGTTTATAAACAACAGTAATATATTTTGCATAATTTGGGAAGCTGAAAAGTCCAAAATTAGGGTGTCCAGTGTAGTCCAGTTCTGTCCCTTTTCTGGGTTGCATACTTATTGCAGTGTCCTCACGTGGCAAAAGGGTAAGCTAGCTTTCAGAGGTATCTTACAAGGGCACTCATCACTCATGGAGCTCCACCCATACAACCTAATCACCCCCCCTACAAAAACTCCACTTCTTAATAATATCACAATAGTGATTACGTTTCAATATCTGAATTTGGGGTGCAGACTCTAACACCTACTAAGCACACAGTATTGGTTGTTGTTATCCACTAAAATAGTATTCTCATTTTTTTACCCCCTCTATGTAATATATATAACTGAACCCCATTTTTCTCTTGATGAAACAAAGCCACAGAGTGGTTAATACATACCCAAGGCCATTCAGATAAAAGTGGTAGAACTAGACAGGATTCAAATCCTAGGAAGTCTAAAGCCCATACTCCAATAAAGTGAATTTCCAAACACTTCCTTTTATTTACACAGTCGCCTACCCTACTCTAGGTCGCTTGGTACGTTATCAGTGCATCCAGTGGTTTCCTGTCCTTAATAGTTTACTCCTATTGCTTTTACTTCATATACACTCCCACAGTGCTATTGGCTCATATATTCCTCTCTCTCAAGATTTCCTTTAGTACACCTCATTGAAAAAGCCTGAGTTAATATCCCATTTATTAATCCATCCACTCAATCAACAAATATTTCATTAAGTGACAATTATATACCATATCCACAATTACATTTTATTTGGTTAATTCTTTTATTTGTTTTCAATTTATATTGTACTTGGTTTTAAATAGCTTTTCTTGTTTTGGGGTTTTTTGTTGGGGGGCGTTGTTTGTGGGGTTTGGGTTTTGTTTGTTTGTTTAATTTTGAGACAGGGTATTCCTAACGTGCTGAGACTATCTTTGAACTTGTGATCCTCCTGCGTCAGTCTTCCATACTCCTGGGATTGCAGGTGTGGGCACTGCTCTTATTTTTTTTTTAATGTGTTACACTATAGAAATGGTGACTGATTCATGAGAGACTGTCTAGTTAACAGCCAAAATTTTAAGTATACATAGTTAGGGATTCAGTTCCATCGTTACCAGTTTCCTGGGGCAAATTCCTTAACTTTTTCATTCCTTGATGTTCTGTAAAATTATAATAGTATTTATATCACAGAATTGTCTTGAGGATTAAATTAATCAATGTATGTTAGCTCTTAGGCACCTGGTATATGATAAAAACACATTATGATTGTAAATAATGTAATTATCTGTAGCTGGCACTATATTAATATTCTTGTGCCTCCACAGTTCTTGATATAGTTTTTGGTGGTAGTTTTCTAGTTGGACTACAAATGTACAAGACTAAGTTAGTTATATTCCTAAATGTATGACACATAATAGTCATTAATCATAACAATTCATTATTTTTAAAATATATTTACTTTTGTTTCAATATCTGTCTATCTATCTATTTATTTTTGCAAATCAAGCCCAATGCCTTGCACATGCTAGACAAGCACTCCCCCTCTGAGCCACACCCCAGCCTTATTTAGCTATTTTAAAAATCATCTGAATTACTATACACCCATCTGCTACTTAGCTTCTAACTCCATAATTCTCTGTATCTACCAGTCCATTCACCCACAGTATGAGGCACACAGATTGCCTCCAACTTTTTGCTACCTCAGTGCATGATTTTCTTTCTTTATAGGATCTGAAAATAAGTAATTTAAGCCTGGTATGATTATTCTTTGACATTATTAGGAATCCAAGTGCCTTTTAATCTTCTGCTCAGCTATTTTTTAGCATATGATATTCCACCTCAAAATCTTAAGATGGTTGATCTGCCTCCAGTGTTGTATACAGCTACAGGTAGTAATGAGGAAAATGGTGATGGGAAAAGGGGGAATGTGCCAATGGATCAGTCCTCTCTAAAGAGCATTCCTAGAAGTAGAAGTTCAAGCCAATTATCTCAGTTGACTAGAACTGTATAGCATTGACCACCCTTGCCTGCAAAGGATTGGAAGCTAGGAAGTGTGAGTT